AGATTATACGCAAAGAAATGGAATATAAATGGGAGTTCATGGAATATCCTTCACTTGAGGTTTCTTCATTTTTATTTTTTAAGCATGATTTTTACTTAAGCATGGGCATTTTGCTTGGTTCTCCTAGACCTCTACCTTTTGGTTATGCAAATAGAGTTAAGGGCTACAGAGCCATTTTGAATATTGCTAGTGGTGGTACAACTTCACCAGAAGGCACGATTATGACCCAAAGGAAAAAACAACTCACAAAGAGAACACCATAAAAACATCTGCTGTTGGGGCCAGCAGGTGTCATGGTGGCTAAGGGCGCTGGACTTTCACATGGCCGACAATGGTTCAAATCCTAGACCTGGACTAGGACTCTCTCTGAGTAAAATTAAAAAACAATAACAAATAAAAATAAATGAATAAATAATTCTTTAAAAAGAAAAACTGCTGTTTTACAAATTGCTTTGCTACCACAGACACAAAATCACAGTGGCTACTAGTAAATAGCTAGTTTTTTTCCTTATTTTTTACATTCAATCACTGCTTATCTTTACAGCATGGAAAATGAGTTTTCTTAGCATGAATACTGGCATTTGATAGAAAGAGGACAACCATGAAAAACTTTAAAAATTTTTTTAGACAAGGAAATGGGACTTCTTTGTGGGAGATAGAGTTTTTCATCCACACCTTTTAAATAGAAAACATTCCAAGGTTAAGCATTTTCTTTATCCACAAAATAGCGCTAAGCCAACATATATTATAAGGAGTGTGTATTAAAGAAGGTATAACATCTTTACAACTATCTTCTCAGAATATAAGTAGTCTAATATTTCACAGCAAAATATTACAATAGAATAGTAAAAACAGTGTTGATATGTTATATATTGTAGAAGGGAATACATAAAGGACAAATGATAATAATTTAATCATGTGAAACATGATAAATAGTTGAAATACAGTCCACATAAATAGCTTTGTGACCAAAATGTTTTCTTGAATTATTTCACTTAGCATTATTTGTTATTATTATTATTATTTGACCAAAGAGAGACAGAGAGAGAGAGAAAAAAGTGAGAAAGCAAGCCACCAGGTCTTGAAGGCAAACCATGGTCAGCCATGGTCCAGCGCCTTTAACCTCCATGCCACCTTCCAGCCTGAATAATGTTAAATATTGTACCAAACGCCAACTTAAACAGTCTCCCGATGTCTTTGTGTTTAAACTATTTCTTTCTGTTGAACTGTGTCTTTTACTCAATACTGGCCCATAATTCATAATTGATATTATCACAGGTCATCATTTTCTTAGACACATCATGAAGACATTTACTTATGAAAAATAAGTAACTTGTCATTAGTTCACAAAATGGGAAAGTGTTGTATAGGCATTTGGTAATGACCAAGTCCTTCCCAGAAATTCCCTGTTATCACATGCAGTATGAGATTGAAGTAGATGGAAAGTCACACATCAGGCCTTGGAAAGAAAAATAAGCTTTCTGATTCTTCATGGTTCTTCATCCATGCAGATGGCATAATGGTTACGTTGCTGGGCTCCCACAGTCAACCATGCTTCAAGTGCTGGACCTGGTGGCTTAAAACTCACATGTGGCATGTGTGTGTGGGTGTGCAAAATCCCAAAAGGAGAATGGAGGAGAAGGGATTGCAGGGTGGCCATCGCCCCTGAGTGGGAGGGGTATGATATCTTGCTTTCTGTCTCTCTGGTGAGCACATGTGCCCTATTGTAAAAATCTCTCTCTCTCTCTAAAAAAAAAAAGGGGGGGGGGAGACAAGGAGGGTGGGAGAAAGAGAAGAGAATACAAGTCCATCATTGGATGAACAATCTGCTCAAGGTCCTAAATTATCCTAACATTGATATGAAGAATTTTAGGGCTTTTCTTGATGTCTTTAAGAGTATAATTTAATGCCAATCATCTAAATTTGGGATTTTTAAAAAGAATATTTCTTTGTATTGTATTATGATTGTTATTATTATTATTATTATTTAATTTTGACCAGAGAAAGACAGAGAGAGAGAGAGAGAAAGGGAAAGCGAGAAAGCAAGTGCCAGGTCTGGAACTTGAACCATGGTTGGCCACGTGGGAGTCAAACACCTTAACCATTGCAACACCTGCCGGCCCCTAAGTTTTATCTTTCTCTCTCTTCCTCCCTCCTTCCATCTATCCATACTTCCTTTATTCTTTTCCTCCTTCCTTCCTTTCTTCCTCACATATTTACTGACTTACTGACTTTTTCTTATGTTTTAGTGACTCCCTTAGGTGCTAGGAATGGAGAAGTGAATACAGCAGAGTCTCCCTTCATGGAACTGACATTTATTGTCCCTGGATCTCTTGGCCTTTGCAGGTGCTGCTTCTCTGCTTTGGGATACTCTTATCCAGATCCTCTTGGGCAGATAGACAGACAGACAGGCATGACTATAGCCAGTAAATCCAGGACTTACCGGTCCATGACTTCTAAATAAAGTCACATTTATCTCCTCAGAGTGTACTTATGAGAGCTAAATAAGTTAAGAAATACACAGCCCTTAGCAAGGTAAGCTAAAATAAAGTGAGTAAAATACATGTTACCTATAATTTTGACTTTATTACCATTATTGTCAGTTAAATATTTCCACAATTTTTTTTCCTTAGAGATTTCTGAGACTCAGTTCCTTATGGTATCGACAAAACTACAAAATGAACCTCCCCATGAGGAATCCCTCTTTACAAAATACATTTCCAAGATGCTGAAAGTGTATCTTCTCCCAGAGCCAGGGCTTCACTGAGAGAGGTGAAACGAATATCCCTGAATTAACAGAAAAGTTTGTATCATGGGTGCCAACTGGAAAATAATTTAGAGATAGTTTTTGATTGGGAACAAATTTTGACTCCTTGATGCATTTTGTTCAAGCATCTCTGAGACAAAAGGCAACATGTTCATGTTTCTTTGTCTCGCTCGTCACATGGTATTATAGTCGTGAGTAAAGGGACCATACATCCTTGGTCTATGCCTGTTGTCCTAAAGTGCAATCTGGTTTAGTATTTTAGCACTCTCAAAAGTGTCCTCCTGGTCTAGACAATAAACTCTGCAGTTCCCCAGTGATGAGGCAGGTGCCTGGCAGGGGAGGCTGAGGAGCACCACGGTGGTGCTAAGCCAAGTACGAGTCTGTTGGACAAATTGGTGATGTTGTTGACCTGGAGAGGAGTGTCCAATTTGTGTGCAGGGACAGCTTTGAGGAGAAACAAAGGCCTGGGGGCAAAGACAGAATCAGTGGAGGAGAATAAGGCAGCCCTCCCAGACTGTGGCTAAGTCCTGCAGGAAAAGGACTCCTTTTCCCATTCTGTTAAGAACAGGCACATTCAAGCAAAATATACAGGAAACAAGAAATGGAAAATTATTTGTTGATGGTAACACATATGTTGCTGTGTTTGATTGAGCCAATATACAGTGTATTCTGGATGGAAAATCTCATTTTGTATGCTATAATGATGTATAGTGAATGAATGTAAATAAATAAATGTAAAAAAATACAAAAAAAAAAAAGAAAAGGCACATTCTAAGATGGTGAGGAATTCAAGGTGCCCTCTTGGCTCTTTTTGGGCCTAGGTTTGTAAATGCAGTAGGAGACGGCACCATGGAGAAGGAATCAGGGCAATGAAAATGAAATATAAAAGCAACCAAACCCGAGTTTCTGAGGACACTGAGAACTAGGTGGGGCTGGGGTGGCACAGGATATTTGGGGCCAGTTTGTGGGAAAGTCATGACACAACTGAAACCACAAAGGAAAGGTCCTAAGTTTGTATCCACAGACTTTCCTGAGCACACCAGACATGTGCTTATAATCCAGCATACTGAGACTGTGAGAGACTGTGGCAGGAAGACCCTGTTAATAATGACTGTGTTTCTTTCTCTCTCTCTTGCTGTCTCTCACTGAATAAATATCTCTCATGTACTTCTTTTTCATGGAAGAAATACATGAATAAAAACTAATATAAATCTTATTTGATAAGTAGAATAATTTATGTCTTGTGAAAGATATGAACAGGGAAGAGGAGGCTTTTCTAAACAGAGTATTTTGGTTATTTACTTTTAAAATTTTATTGTGCAACATTCTTCAGTTGAGACAAGATGGTATATTTTAAGAGTCAAGGTGTGTTATTAAAGTATTTTAATATTTTTAGGTATCTTGGGACCAGCAGTTAGCATAATGGTTTTGTCACTGGATTCCCATGTAGTCAACCACGGTTCAAGCCCTGGACCTGGTGGCTTAAACTCATGCTGGGCGTGTGTGTGGACATGCCCAAGATCCCGAGAGGAGAATGGAGGAGAAGGGATTGCAGTTTAGTCATCCCCCCTGGGGGTGATTTTTAGGCTTTCTGTCTCTATGTCTCTTTCTGTCTTTCTAGCGAGCACTCACACCCTATAGCAAAAACCTCTCTCCCTCCAAAAAATTTTTAGATGTCTGCTTTGAGAACATTTTTCAAAATCAATTTGTTTATTCAGGAAATATTTATTTAAATCCCACTATTGGCCATGCACTGCACCAGTGCTCACAACAATGTCAACGTATGTGTCTATTCCTGTAGTTTCTTCCACTGTCAATAGGCTGAGGACTCTTCTAAAATGTTATCTCAGCTTTTCTCTCCATCTTAGCACTTCATTACATTTCCAAACTAATTTCTGAATATCTTCACACAATTGTACTATCTGTGCTTTAATTTTTTCTTCTCTTCTTTTTTTTTTTGAGAGAGATTTTTCCTATAGGGTGCATGTGTTCCCCAGAAAGACAGTGAGAGACAAAAAGTGAGAAATCACCCGCTGGGGTGATGGCCACACCACAATCCCTTCTCTTCTGTTCGCCTCTTGAGATCTTAGGCATGCACACACACATGCCCAGCATGAGATTTATTGGTATTTATTTATGTATTTATGTATTTATGTATTTATTTATTTATTGTTACTTAGTTTTTATTTCATAATCATAAACTTAAATTTGCAATTCAGTTAGATTTCGAGGGGAATAACAAAAATATGGAACCCAAAGAACTTCAGCAAAAGCACAGGTTATAGGACAGTGAGCAGATGGGGTGGTGGAGTGTTCTTTTGAGCTACAGAAGGAGGGGTCTGGTGGTTAAGAGAAAAAAGTCAAATTCATAGAGTTGTGCACAGTCAGAAATAGTGATCTTCTTTCTGGTCTTGCCATTCTTGGACCCAAAGAGAGCCATGGCTTCCAAAATATTCATGCCCTCTTTTCCCTTGCCAAAGACCATGTGCTTGCCATACAACCACTCAGTCTTGGCAGTGCAGATGAAAAACTGAGAACTGTTTGTGTTGGGTCCAGCATTTGCCATGGACAAGATGCCAGGACCTGTGTGTTTCAGGATGAAGTTCTCATCATTGAATTTCTCACCATAGATGGACTTGCTGCCAGTACCATTATGGTATGTGAAGTCAACACCCTGGCACTTAAAGCCTGGGATAATTCTGTGAATGCAGGAATCCTTATAATCAAATCAGTTGCCACACATGCAGCGAAGACTCCGTGCTCTGCAGGCAGGAACCACATGGGAGACCTGGGTTTGATTCTTTTTTTTGGAGAGTCTTTTTTTGCTATAGGAAGTGTGCGCTTGCCAGACAGACAGAGAGAGACATAGAGACAGAAAGCGAGAAATCACCCCCCAGGGGGGATGGTCATGCTGCAATCCCTTCTCCTCCATTCTCCTCTCGGGATCTTGGGCATGCACGCACACGTGCCTGGCATGAGTTTTAAGCCACCGGGTCCGGGACACGAACCGTGGTCGACTACGTGGGAGTCCAGCGACATAGCCGTTACGCTAACTGCTGGTTCCCGTGGGTTTGATTCTTGGCCCAGCAGGAAGATTGGGTGTGGTGGCATGTGTGCTTAGTCCCAGCTGGGAGACTGAGATAGGAGGGTCAGGAGAAACCCTGTCTTAAAGAAAGAAAGAGAGAAAGAGACAAAGAAAGAGAAAGAAAAAAGACATATATGTAAATGCTGACATCTAGTAGAAAGACATTATCCAATAGAGATTTTATCTACAAAATTTTAAACATGCAAAATCATCTCTATTGAAAGTTGCATTTGGCTATTTCAGTCTCATAAAATATAAAGCATTTGATTCATGTAACTCCCCTTGCCCTGATTCCATATCAACAACAAACTTAGAGTCCAGCAAAGAGAGACAGACTATGTAAATTATCACTGTAATGTTTCCTGTAACTCTGGATTTGAAATCAGTGCCATGAAAAAGACATTAGTTTTAGGCATATTAACAAAAGCACATCTCTTTCCTTCTTTCTTTCTTTCTTTTCTTTCTTTCTTTCTTCCTTTCTTCCTTCCTTCCTTCCTTCTTTCCTTCCTTCCTTTTTTTTTTTTTCAAAGGTTTTTGCCATAGGCTGCATATGCTCATTAGAAGAGAGAGAGACAGAGAGACATAGAAACAGGAAAACTGAGAAATCATTCTCTAGGGGGATGCCAAGCCACAATCCCTTCTCCATTTTTTTCTAAGAATTTTGGGTATGCATGCACATGTACCAGCGTGATTTTCAAGCTATCAGGTCCAGGACTCAAACTGTGATCAACTAGGTGGGAGTTCAGTGCCTTAACCACCATACCACCTGCGGGTCCCCAAAAGTAGATTTCTAAAGCTGAGAAGCAGGCTTAAAACCAATATAAATCTGTTGTAGTAATAAATGCTGCCCTGTGAGAATTGTCACAAGGCATTGGATTTGAGGCCAGACTGGTGGACTAGTGATTAAGGGAGTTAGATTCTACATGTCTGATCTTGTGATTCAAGTCCTAGACTCAGACCTGGTGATATAAGAAACATGTCAGGCACATGTGAATGCATGCATCAAATCATGACAGGTTAGAGAAATGCAGAAGGTATCCTGGAGTGACCAAACGCCCGTTCTCCCTCTCTCTCTCTTTCTGGCAAAGCACACAAACTTTCTGGCAAAAAATTTTAATATGTATATATAAATAAAAGTTTGGTCTCATTCAAGAGTTTTTCATTTCTCTGACCTATTATTTATAATAGCCATGGTGTTTTTTAGATGGCATTCTGGAAAACACTTCATTTTCTTTGACCCAATATTAAATAAAAGAAGGCAAGAAACACAATTTTTTTTTTTTTGAGGGGGAGAGATTTTTGTTATAGGGCACATGTGCTTACCAGAGAGACAGCAAGAGACAGACACACAGAAGGTGAGAAATCACCCCCCATGGGATGACCAGGCAGCAATCCCTTCTCCATTTTCTTCTTGGGATCTTGGTCATGCATGCACATGCACTCAGGTGAGTTTTAATCCCCTGGGGCCAGGACTAGAACCACAGTCGACTAAGTAGGAGTCCAGTGACATAACCATTATGCCATCTGCTACTCCCAATAAATACAAATTTTTAAAATATATACAATGAGAACAAATATCTCCAAAGGGAAATTAAATGAATAACTATGAATTCCTTTGTAAACATGACTGTCTACATTAGATTTTCTTTTTTTTTAAAGAGGGTTTTGCATAGAATACATGCACTCACCAAAGAGAGAGAGAGTGAAAAGGAAAATGAGAAATTACCCGCTGGAGGGATGGCCATGCAGCAATCCTTTCTCCATTCTCCTTCTGGGATTCTGGGCATAGACACGCTCACACACCAGGAGTAAGTTTCAAGTTGCTGGGTCCAGGACTCGAACTGCAGTCAACCATATGGGAGTCCAGTGCCTTAACTACTATGCCACCTGCTAGCCCCTGAAGAACTCTTTAAATAAGATGATAAACATTGGTATTGTATATATTGGTAGTCTGAATACAAATAATGTGTAGAATGTTATCATAATTCAGTATTGTATTACATTTAATATCGGCAATTGGTATTTGCTATTTAATTGGTATTAATACATTTGCTTAATTCTCAGTTAAATACAAATATTGAATACAATAATATGTACAATACCAACTCTGAAGCAAAAATACGTATTAAATTTACTACCTAATAACTAACCATATCCAGTAATTCAGTTGTAGTTCCTCATGTCATTATTTTTAAACATAAATACACAAGTAAAGAAGTCTGTATTAAAGTCAGAGCTCAACTTTCTAGCTTACCTTTGAAACTTGATTATATTAGGTCATCATGCTTATTTTTACAAAAGTACTTTTTTAAAGTGAAAATGTTTTACTTAAAAAAAAGTAACTTGAGATCCTCAAATCCCTTGTTTGTTTATTTTATGTTTTTTTTTAAAAAACAAATTAAGGAGGAACATAACTAAAGATTTTGTCTTCAAATAGTTTCCTTTGGAAAATGTCAACAACTTAAATATTTAAGATGTGATTAACTACTTGTAAAAAGACTGAAAACAATATCTTAGGTATATGTGTCCCCAAACATACATATTTCTGATTTAGACTTTTAAACTGTCAATAGTGGAGAGACAATGCCATTGACATGTACCTGGCACTAGTCCTTCTGGTTAATTTTTTCCCCGGAGAGTGGTTTTGGGCGACAGAGTGGCGTCCTGGCTTCCCAGGTTGTTGTACTGACAAACTGCAGTGGTGGTAAAGTCGAGGAGCCTGACAAAATCTCATTAATCATTTTAAATTAAATCCAACCTTCTTGTCCAACCATGCCTAGAAGAAACCTTTTTTTTTTAAACAAACGAAAATTTTCTCAGTAAAGATTTGGTATCTTTTTGTTGGTCTTTAATCTGAATAGACAAAAATAAAACAAAACAATCCACTTTTCTAAGCTTGAAAACAAAACATTTATCCAGATATGATTTAACTTATCAACCAAGTGTCTTTTTAAAATAAAACAAATTCTAACTAAAAATATATGGAAACATTCTGAAGAGAATTTGTACTAGGTAATTAGAGACACGATTTATCTTTATTTGCTGAATAGTTGGATGTATTAATTTTGTTCTATAAAAATACATAATCCTTAATAAGATTCTAAAGAAATATGAGACAAAACCTTTATAATCCAAAATCTGTTGGCATATTTTATCCAGTCTCCTCTTTTCATTCATAGATTTTACCATAGATTTTATACAGTAAAGGTGAGTATAATGTGTATATGTATAATATGCATATGTATAATATATGTATATGTACAATTTCATATCCTTTTAAATATTTATCCTACTTTTTTTTCCATATTATTCTTAAGCATCATGGCTTTATAATAGCATGAGGATGCATTCTGGTCTACTTGACTAGTGCCCAATGTGGTATCTGGTACATAGACTATTCTCAAATATTTCTTGGTTATGTGTTAGAATGCTGTCTTTGTTAGAAAACTATATTCATAACATTGTCAAAAATAAAACTTAAGGCTGGGACCAGCAGTTAGCATAATGGCTATGTCGCTGGACTCCCACGTAGTCGACCGCGGTTCGTGTCTCGGACCCGGTGGCTTGGAACTCACGCCGGGCGCGTATGCGTGCGTGCCCAAGATTCTGAGAGGAGAACGGAGGAGAAGGGATTGCGGCGTGACTATCCCCCTGGGGGGTGATTTCTCGCTTTCTGTCTCTATGTCTCTCTCTGTCTGTCTGGCGAGCGCATGCGCCCTATAGTGAAAACCTCTCCAAAAAATAAATAAATAAATAAATAAAACTTAAGAGACATGCAGATTCTTCAACTTTATTTTTGGGCATGCATGCATGTGCACCCAGTGTTTTTCAAGCCACTGGGTCTAGGATTTGAACTGTGGAGTCAGTCATGTGAGATCCAGTGCCTTAAGTACAATGCCACCTGATGGCACATAATTTTTTTTTTTTGTATAAAAGAGGTTTATCAATTTTATTTATTTGTTTTGTTCTTATGAGAGAGAGAGAGAGAGAGAGGGACACTCAATAGGATCCTGTCACACTGTGACCGTACCCCACCCTTCCAGCCAGCCAGGTTCACTAGAGTGATATAGTCAAAATGTTTAGGGTCAATCTGGGATCTGAACTCCTGGTCTTCAGGGTGGCTCCAGCACTACAGAGTGCCACTACAGATAGTCAAAGTGTTTAGGGTCAATCTGGGATCTGAACCCCTGGTCTTCAGGGTGGCTCCAGCACTACAGAGTACCACCACAGATGGTCCCAATGACTTAGACTCTTGAAGGTTGAAAGAAAAAGTGAGGGGAGGAGGAATGGGCAATCTTAAAGTAGCAGTGATTCATCTAGATATGGAAAATCAGAAGTCCTAGAATGATGAACTTATATCTAGAATAATACATATGTTGAACCTGTCTTAATGTTTCTTAAAAGCTAAATAATATATTCTGATTTGTCAATTGTGTACACCTGAGACGTCTGAATGCATTTTTTTTAATGCTAATATAAAAACTGAAGCAGAGTTAAAATAATTCTAATGGACTTAACAAGAAACTGCTTCAGGCCAGTGTCTGTATTAGATACTGGAGGGGATAGAAGAAAAATATATTGGGTCTTTGGAAAAGTCATGAAGCATTTTCACATAGAAAAATATGTCATGTTTTTTCCAATGACCCAATAATTTCCATCTGTGGTCCAACCACAGTGGTGCAAGCAGGACAAAGCTGTGTGGTGGTTGAGGTTGCAGGGGAGGCTTGGGTTCAATTATGGCCTAACCTGGACAGCATAGGCATGGTGGCATGCATCTGTGGTCCTTGTCCTTAGCTGACTGGGAGGCAGGTCTCTACAAGGAGACTCTGTCAAAAATCTCTCTGTCTCTCATTTAAAAAACAAACAAAACAAAACAAAACAAAACACCTGTAAGAATTGGAAAAGTCCCTGGAAGGAAAGAACTGTGAAAACTTTCAAGGACAAATAACCTCTCACAGGTAAATAGGCAGGAGGGATTCCAGAGAAGAAGACAGAGCAAATGAATGGAAAGATGAAAATGCAGGATTAATCAAGATTAGTGTTAGTTTTAACAGAACACAGTCAGGAAAATTCCAATTGATAAAAAATTTGGAGGGAGTTCTAAAATTAAGCATTTTCTTTTTTCTTTCTTCCCTCTTTCCTTCCTTTTTAAAAATTTCCATTCTTTTTTCTCTCATCCCCCCCCCACCCACCCCCCGTCGCCCTCTTCTTTCTCTCTTTCAAAGTAGGAACTATATCCTGGAAAACACAACTGGTAACCATGGGTAGGAAAGACTCACAGACATCTGTCATGTCTACAGAAAGATTTACTGCTGAGTGAAGCAAGCCAGTCTATGACAGAGAGACATTGTATGTCTCCACTTAATACTGACAATCTGCACTCCTGGTGGAAACTGAAAGACTAGAGGCTATAGAAGCATGGGAAATGGTGAGGGATACTGAAGACAGTGTGGGAAGAGGGAGAAGGAGTAGAGTATGAGAAAAAAACTTAAGGTGAAAAATAGAGAGGCAAGGCATTTATGGGACACAGAAATGGATTATTATCTGTTGATGATAATGTGCATAGTATCCTGAACTGGACTGGTGTGAAGTGCATCCATTGGTGGGTAAATTCACTTTATAAGCTAAGTGATGTATACATATTGAATGTATAAAATAAATTTTTTTAAATTGAAAAATAAATAATGCCTATCTTATGCTAAAAAAAAAAGGAAAGATTCACTAGTAGTACCCAACTGATATAGCACATAATGGGCTTGAAACTACACAGTCCTTATTGGGGAGGGAAGGTGTAGACAGGCCTGAGTTGCCATGAACCATAAGCACTCTTGTGGGTTTCAGCGAAGCTCAGATTACACATTGGGTAACGGAGAGTTTGTCTGGTGACAATATAAAAGCCATTAGCAGTACAGTGATTTTCTAGCTTCAAAGAATTGAGCCCCAAGTGGAAAAGGTAAACTCAATAAGGCCAAGTACAGATGAGAAAAAAAACCACTTACTTGAACTGCAGCACGTGCGAGCCCAGCAACTCCTTTGAGTTCTCCTTCTTTAGGTCTTGGGATATTATTCTTCTCTGGCCTTTCTACAATTTTAACGAAATCTTTTTCTGACTTCTTTTTCTTTACCAAAACCTAAAATGCTGTGTTTCCCAATTATTTTTTTCCTCAACATATTCCTAAGAGAAATGACCTCCTCCCATGCTTCACTTAGCATAACATACTTCAAATTTTAATAGGACTCTTAACTTACATATCCAGCTCTCACTTCCCCCTCTCCCTTTTTTTTTTTTCACTGTCAGAGGGCACATATGCTCACCAGAGAGAGACAAAGTGAGACAGAACAAAAGCATGAGAAAGCACCTCCTCCAATGGGTTGTAGTCACACTGCAATCCCTTCTCCTCCATTTCTCCATCCTGTTGGAATTTTGGGTATGCACTCGTATCACCTGGTATATTTTTCAAGCCACCAGGGCAGGATTCAAATAAGTCAGCCATATGGGATCCAGCTCCCCTACCCACTCAGCTATGGGGCTGGCCTGCAATTCTCTCTCTCTCCCCTTTAGTCCTATTTTCTAGCCACAATCCATAAATGTCTTATTAAGACTTCTGAGTTCAAGAATACAAAAATTAGGATCATTTGGACAAGAATCTCACATTAGAAAGCCTTTTTAAAAAATTCAAAATTACCAAATCCTATCAATTTCCAGGTATTAAAAATTCTTTCTTTCTCTACAAATACTGCTATTTCTCTAGTTCCATTCTTACAACAGAAACTGACAGGGAGAGCACAGTCGTTAACCTTAATCGGATCACATCCAATAAAGGAGCTCGACATGTAGAAAGTTAGAGTATAATTACTGTAATTTAGATATGTACAAATGCTGAGGCTTACAGAGAAAGAAGCAAGTTACACTAGTGCTATACAGGGTAAAGAGTCTTTGAAAGCTTTTCAAAGAAATTACATTTAAAGTGGATCTTAGTGGATGAATAGGGGAACTCTAAGTACAGACAGGGAGAAAGGGATATCAGAGAAAGCTTCTAAAAGGGAGAGACTGAGGAATGTTTGAAATGAAACTTAAAGCTAAGCAGAGACCAGGTTGTAAAGGGTCTTATATGCCATACTGAACATACTATTGCATACTTAATTTTGTAGGGCAAAGGGAAACACCAAAAGACTTTAGGCAGTTAACTATCATCAGTAATTGGTGCTTTAGACAAAATTGTTAAACTTAAAGATGGTGCAATAGTTCTTAGTTCCAGGTGATTTGTCTCCACAGTAAGTGCTTAGAAATATGCAGAGACCTTATTTGTACATCACGATGACTGGGCATGCCACTGGCATCTATTCTGCAAAATCCAGGCATACTTATGTCCTATAATGCTTATGTCTTATAAGGGGCAGTTTCTCCTAATGAAGACCGTCTTTCCCCACTGGGAAACACTGAATTGCTAATTTAGTAAATGTTTTAAATGTTTACCATTAAGGTCTTTCCTAGATGGAATATTTTAAAAATTTCTACTCACCTAGTTTTAAAAGCAACAAGGAATAAACTCCTATTCGGTAATCATAGGACATGGTTTAAAGGGTAATACTCAGTTGGAAAGGATTCCATTTCGAGTGATGGTCAAGAAGCTTTCCAATCAACCCTCCCACTGATAAAACTATAAACACTGGAAAAAATAAAAAGGTCAACCACCTAAAAGTAAAGAAAAGCACCCAAAAGCAGGCTGATCTTACAGAGGAGGGAATACTTAGAAGAGGAAATCATTGGGTGAATCTGCTAGATTTATAGCTCTTAGCCTGAGGGTAGACTCCATTCTGCATCATGTGGAGGAGATATAGTTTAATTGACTTGAAGAACCACAGGGTAATAACGACAGCTACTGGAAAATGCACAGGGGAAATCCTGGGAAGGAATAAACTGGAGAGAGAGATCACCCCAAATTCTGTGTATGAACTCTGCCCCCAAATTCTGGCTGGGCTCTGAAGCATGGATGCGTCAAACGGATTACAGGCAGAGCAGCCAGGTAAGGAACTGAAGTGAAATCTGCACTGCCACCAACTGCAAGGGAGCCTGAGCTTGGGGTTGGGGGCTTAGCCAAGTTAACTGACTGCTTAAACACAAACTCTTTGGAGAAATGTGTATCAGAATCCAGGGTTTCTACATTTTATTTACCATGTCCAGGACACAATCTAAATTATGGAACATACAAAGAGACAGGAAAATATAACCCATGTTCAAAAGAAAAGAAAATCAAAGAAGACTGATAAAATGATTCAGAATATGGGAATGAACAGAACAGACGAGTATTTTTTTTTATGCCAGAGGGCATGTGTGATTCACATAGGTGTATCTATCAGTGAAGACTCAATGATTAGTACACATAATATTTATGCATGTCATTGAATGTAATTTTACCTCAAAATAAAGGTAAAAACTTAATCTCTAGTAAATCATATTAAAGTTTATCTTCAGGAGTAAAGTGTACTGATGTCTGAAACTTAGTTTTACTTGTATCAGAACAATACGATGCGTTGATAAATGGATATAGCTTTGAATGAATATGTGATAAAGTAAATACGGTAAAATTTTAATTATAGAATCCAGGTGGTTAGTATATTCCAATTTTCTATATTTAAACTTTTCTATATGTTTGAATAATTCCACCGCCCACCTAGATTTATAATCAGGTCAGTGTGAAAAAATAAAACAGGAAAAGAGAAAAGTAACTGGGAAATGGAGATACAAATAAAGTGAAAAGAGATTGCCAAGATAAAACCGAGAACTGGAGGGTAAGAGAAGGCAGGTATGGAAAGAAACAAAGAAAAGGTAGAAAGAGGAAGAGGGCGAAGTGCCATTCCCTGGAAATAAGAACAATAGTAAACAGCTGTTATCTCTACCCTTTGTCTTTTACCGAAAGAAACAAAGAAAAGGTAGAAGAGGTAGAGGGCGAAGTCCATTCCCTGGAAATAAGAACAATAGTCAACAGCTGTTATCTCTACCCTTTGTCTTTTACTATTATTTTTTGGAGAGATTTTTGTTATTAGAGTGTGTATACTTGCCAGAAAGACAGAAAGTGAGAAATCATCCCCGGGGATATAGCCACACTACAATCCCTTCTCCTCTATTCTCCTTGCAGGATTTTGGTCACACATGCACGAATGCCCAGCATGAGTTTCTTGAAACTT